CAAGTTCTAAAAAGTTACAGATTTCCGAAAAAAAGGGCTTGAAAAAAAAAGAGATTAACAAAGTCGAACAGTTTTGTAAAACAGAGAGAAACTTATAAGTAATATAGTTCCACATTAAATGAAAAAAGGTTTCAAACTAATAAAAGGACAAAAAAAAAAAAGGAAAAATTATGATATGATAAATACCTAGATAAACATAGAGAGAAGAGATATAAGTTAATATTTTTCAAGATTGGCCACGATTTTTCCATTACCGATATAGTTGTCTTTGGTTTTCAAAATATTTAATGATGACCCTTTGAGGCTTTTGCTGAAGGTCGTCTTTGGTATGTTTTTAAGCTATATATTTGGCATCTCGTTCCATATCTTTGCGCCAACACGAAAGAACGCATTCTTTAGTGTATTAAGTCTAGATTTTTTACGTGGAAGTCTTGTGAAGTTGGTGAGCGTGTAAAATAGTGATGTGAATTTGATGTCCTAGAAAACAAGTTCCAAATAATTATAGGTGCATTTCTTTCGTCTATGTGGTGCATAAAGTTTAAGACGGATTCATAATACAAGATATTTAGTGACAGGACTTTAGCTTTTACGAATAAAGGAATAACATGATCTTGTCTGTTTGCAGAATATATTACCTGTGTAGTGCACGTTTCTGAAGGATAAGTATCAGTTTTTAATAGACCACCCTCGACTTTTTGAGGGAAATTGAAAAAACGCCCATGCCTGAATTTCCTTGAGTTGTCGAGATACGTTTTACAGGCGTTTCCCTAAGAAATAAGACATTGGGTGTCAATGATATTCTATTAAATTTTGACAGTAAATATATTGGTCGATACTTCAAGGCATTACATACATCATCACTTTTAAACATTGGGACAATTTTTGATATTTCAGTTTAGCTTAGAAGGATAGGCCCCTATAGTTCAATTGATATATCAGTTGTTGATATCAGGAAAGGACCGGACTGGAGGTAGGCTTTTGCACATTATGCTTTTGTTTCCCCACAGGGCAAGAATATAAACATTCGATTTATTATTTAATAAAAAATAAATTTCAATTTTGATCTCATTTTGTAGTACGGGCTACCACATTTCGAATACTCACATTTCAACAAAAAATTCAAAGAAATTCTCACAAAAGATGAAAAGATCTTGAAAAACACCTACTTACACTTAGCGTGAATTGTCTGTCCATTTTCAGTTCTATTCACAAATCTTCACGGCTTCATCTCAACTGCTAGGAAAAACTGAATTTTAAATCCCGCGCTCGCTTTTAAACCTAACCTTTGGGGAAGTTGGGGACGCCCTGCTATGGGCAACCAATTAACTTCATACTAACAACAGTCTTGGATTCTGAATTCCATGCTGTGGATTCTGACCTTGAGGAACTGGATTTCGGATTTCGCATTGTCAGTGGAGCTTGGATCCCAGATTCCAATCGTTGGCGGAATTCCTGATTTCTTAAATTGAATTCCGTATCCCAAGGCCCAGGATTCAGGATTCCACACTATTATGCTATTTCATGAGAAATTTCTGCAATTGAGAAGTGGTATTTCAGCTTCATTTGAAGTACCTACATCTGAAAATTACAAACCTTTTGCGGGTAGTATAGTATAAACAAATAAAAGCATGATTTGTACGTGATATTTGGCATAAATAACACTCGTGATATTTCAAAATTGTCTCAAATTTCACTCGCCTAACGGCTCATGAAATTACGTATAACAATTTCGAAACATCACCCGTGGTATTTATGCCAAATATCACTGCTAATCATGCTATTACCTATACAAAAATTTTCCCATGTCGGGAATCCTGATTACCTTAAATCACAATTTTCCTCCCAAAATTGCAACCTCGTTCCCAAAATTGGTGTTGGGGATGTAATTGTCAGTTACACTACAACATGTACAAGCAATCAAAGCCATATGCTAAATCATTTAAGATGGATGTCCTTGTACCAGAAATGGATTGAAATGATCAATGTTTACTTGTTCTTCGTCTTGTCGATGCCGTAAGGATCAGTTGGCCGTTTTATTTTTATACATGTTGTTATTGTGTACTGACCTGTACGATCAGGATTACGAAGGGACCGCCCCCCGGTCCGGGTGTTACTAAACAGAGTAACGCAGTAACGAGTAACGAGTAACGGAGTAACGGGATGAAAATTCGAGAGGTTTGAAATATGAATAAATAAATCTTAATGACAGAAAAAAAAACCTAAAAATAGTGTAATATCCTAATAATGACCTTTACCAATCTCGAAAAATATGTGTATTCCAAAAGATGCTTAAAACAACGACGTCAACCCCCCCCTACCAATCCCTTCAGCAAAGTCGAAGGTATTTTCGTACCGAAAAAGTCACCTATTTACAATTGAATATGCCTATCCAGCAGATAGAGTAACAAAACGTTCCGCTTATCGTTCATCTTAAAAGGTTATTTCCTACAGCCCAGGATCAGGAAGAACGGCTATTTTAAAACTGCCGAGTTTCTCAATTGTCACAAATCACTGAATATGTACAACTCAACAAAACTGTATATATACTGGTCTTACGTCACTGTCCTTGAGTAGTACCCGGGTAATAGCATACACACACACACACACACATTAGTACCAACATCGACATCTGCATCAATAAAATTGATTTCCGTATTGTTAGTTTGATCCTGCGGTATACGTTGTGATTAGCTTATTGAGATCATGAAGAAAAGAAACAGAAAGTTTGTTTTGTGACGCATTCTTTTTTAAACAAGATATGGGATTACCCTAAGTTTCAAGGTTTCAGCGTGAAACGATTGTGATAACTAATGGATTAATTAAATTTTGTAAGAAGATTAGGGAAAGTACTTCTTATACCAAATGCATGTCCCTCTTCGTTGTCGCACGATGGTAAAAAGCGTCTGCAAGTGCCACTTTAGCCCCTAGTGGGTCTTAATATAGAGTGGTTTTCGTTTGAGTGTCGTAAAACCAAAACCAAAGTAATTACTCTGGCCAATCACATAGGACACAGACAATACATTGAACCAATCAAAACTCGAAGTAATTACATGTGGCTGACGCAAAAGCGTCACAATTGGCTTTGGTTTTACTTCTGATTGGATGAAAAGGTGGCGCGAATCTTTTAAGCCAATCGCATCGTGTAGAAAGTGCAAAACCAATTACTTTTCGACACTCAAATGAAAACCGCTCTAAGAGATTGATCGTCAAAGCAAGTTTAGAAGACACGAATATTCCTTTCCCGAACTGGGATCATAAGAAGGTATAGGAGGCATAGGAAGAAGACAGAAGTGTCAACAAGGGCTCTTCTACGATTTCAAAATACTCAGTATTAGTTGTTGTTATCTTAGCTCAGGCCTTTCATATAACACACCAATTTTTTTTTTAAAGTTTCTCGCAAGCGTGACTAGAGGAGGAAAAATCCCTGACAGAATTCAGCGCTGACAGGAGCGTAGCTGCCTTTAAGCCATTAAAGCCCGGGCTAGACAAATTAAAATTTGGGTCAAAATGAGTTCATGCAATTGCCTGTTATCAGGGAGTGAAATTGTAGCTAATACAGGCACCAATGGCTGTGACGATCATGCAAAACTGATGACACATATGTCACCAGGAAACTCTGTCGCTGGCGAACGCCATCTTGGTTTCCCAATTAGATATGTAGGGGTCCTCTTTGCTTACTTTGATTACCTGCTAGAATCATTTGGGTTCAAGACTTGTCAATTTGGAGGATCTCGGTTCTAAAATAACATCTAGTAAACCGGCCGTTTTCTCCTTGTTTGCTGTTTCTTCTTGTTTTGTTTCATTTATATTCAGTTTTTTTCTGGAGACGCAAGACTTATTCGACTTAATGGAATTGGCTACCACTTTGAAATATCAAGTAGCCAACTAGATCCTACAAAAAAAAGAGTTAATTTCATGCCCAGGCAGTAACTATGTTTCGGTTATTCTGCATTGATTGTTAAACGCAACTTCGAGCAAACCATCCATGTGAATGTTTCTTTTCTTTACTTTACTTTAACTGAAAATCGATCTAAAAACTAGTATCGCTCTGCAATCCTATTTTGCCGCCAGTATTCAAATTTAAGAGTCTTTACATCGGGAGGTTATTTTTAAACACGACTTATAAATCCTTTTAAACCGGTAGAAACTTTCACTACAATTAACTTTTGGAAGGTAGTATTAAGTTGAATCCCGTATTTACGAGAGGAGTTAAAAAACATTGAAAGTTGAACAAGAAAGTTAATAACCCTGTGAGTAATAAGCGAGCAAACTGTTTCTAAGCCTTCAAGTTAGCAATCGAGTACTTGGTTAGTTGATAACGGTAATAAGGGCCCAACAAAGATCTATTATTTTGATTTACCTGGCAGAGCTATTTCTACTAAGAAATGAAATAATTATGGCAATAAGAAAGAAAATCTGTACCTCGCCTTCCTCCATTGTTGCTCCTCGGTCCCCTCGTGGCTGTGAGAAAATAACCCATTCAAATCTTTTATAACAGCCGTGGCCAGGTGACTTTTTTTGGTGCGAAAATACCTTCGCAGGCTCCTGACCTTCGACTTTGCTAGGGGGAGGGGTAGGGGGGTTGACGTCGTTGTTTTAAGCACTTTTTGGAATACACATATTTTTGGAGATTGGTAAAGATCATTATTAGGATATTACAACCATTTTTATGTTTTTTCTATCATTAGGATTTATTTATTTATTTATTTTTTTAACCTCTTGGATTTTTATCCCGTTACTCGTTTTCTTGTTACTCCGTTACTCGTTACTCGGTACTGCGTTACTCTGTTTAGTAACACCCCCGCTTAAGTTGATTTTGTGACACTTATTCACAATCAAACTTCGCTACTCCGTTGCTTTACCTGTTATCACTGACATTCTGTGGAGCAGCTGTTTTGAAAGTTATGAACCAAAAGACCCTCGTTAAGCGCATATGAAGTTATAAAGTGTGAAAGAAGGGACCATGGGTGCACTAAGTGTGTACATACATGAAGGTTCCTTCAACGATTTGCAAAGATGGCGGAACTCGTGCGTTCTGAACAGGAACAAGAAGTGAGTTAATCTTATGCAGGCCAATACCCTGTAATCCCTTCTTATTATTTCATTCTAAAACATAATGTCTTGTTTTTTTCGTCGTCTATCTCAGGCAATCGCCATTTTCTTGCGAGAAGTTAACAAAGATCGTTCCGAAAATGGATTGAGTCCCGTAGGAACTTCCACAGCCTTGTTGTTTCTCACGGCCCGAAAATTTGACACTGAAAGAGCGGTTAACTTGTATCGACAGTACCAGGTGAGGTTGAAAAAAAAAGCTGCGACGTGATATTATTTTATTTAGTTTAACAAAGTGGGTTTTCCCGCCTTGGAACTTAAAAACGCGCATCGAAGCATCAATGTAAGTCTTATGTTGTTTGCTGCAAAGAGTTTTTGACAACCGTCGTAAATCCTGCCCAATTGATCTATTCAGTTCTGTAGTCTCTGTTGCATTTAGTTTTAATTTACTTAGCACAGCTATAGATGTAACAGCGAATTTTAACCACGAGTTTAGGCTGAATTCACCCGTGGAAATCATGGAAAAAAAGAACAAAATTTTAATTTTAATAATTTTTTCCTGGGTACGACCTGTGAAATCACTAACCTTATTCTAGCGACTTCGAAATGCTTTGATCAATGCTCTTAAAGCTCTGATAATCGCCTTTTCTTATACTGGACTAGTACGAATTTAGAAAAGGAAAGAAAAACAAAGTATTTCTCAGCTGTTATTTTTATTGAGTATTCTTTATGGTCAAATATGTGTGTCATGGAGAAAAGAAGTGTGAAATCACAAAAGTTTGATGTTATGAATCTTTCGGATTGGTTGAAATACTCAGAAAGGGCAAGATGAAAATGTCTGCTTGCCAAAAATCAGAGTCTTTGTGGAAACTGGTGTTGAGATATTGGCACTGCTATGCTCTTCTGAACCTGTACAAATCCCACTACCAATGGCTTGGATCATAGCATTCATGATCCTTGTCAAATTTAGGAGGATTTGTATGGAGCCCTCAGAGCAAAACATTGTTTATACATCACTTTCAAAGTCCACTAAGTCTCTGATTTTTAAATGATAGCTCAACAACATTGATTGTCCTGCTCCCAATGTATGGTTCTTCAAAATGTAGAGGATAGAGCACTGCAGCACCAATGCAGAGGCCATGGATTCAAATCCCATTGAAGCCGGGGGGGGGGGGAAGGGTACTCCCATACATTATCTATACGGGTATGTGCCGCCCAATGGGGTTGTGATTTTGAAGCTCCTGATATAGAACGGGGTATCCATTTAAGAGGCATTTTCTAGAACGGGGTGTAATATTTCAAACGCACGAAAGCTCCAGTTTTGTAAGCAGTCGTTTGAAATTATTTAAGGACCGATTGCTTATAAAAATACGGTTCAATGCGTTAACAAGCAAACTGTTGTACTCTTGTTGCACCCTGTGTTTTAGCATGCAGGGAGGGGGTATTTTGGTGCGAGCCGCAAGCACTGACTCGGCCATCTTGGATAATTAGGCGCGCACTAGTCTGGAACAAGTCCATAATGTACCCAAGGGAGATGGAGACGGGCTCAAAAAAAAGGGACGGGGGAGGAGAAGGAAAATTATTAGCTTACGAGCATAGTTCTGTGCATGGTGAGAGATTTTGCGTCATAATTAACAGCATTGTGTCCACATGTACAGGAAACGTACTCTGGATGATTATGAAGAAGCGTTTATTTCATGTATAGGTCAAACAAATAAAGAAATCTTTTTTTAAAAACAGGGCTATTTCAATTTATAAACTTTCTAGAATGGAGTATAAAAAATTGGCCCATTTCTAGAAAGGGGTATCAGTTTTAGGGTGAATTCTAGAACGGGGTATAAAATATTGGCCCATTTTTCTAGAATGGGGTATCAAATTTGGAGTCCCTGGCAGCACATACCCACCCAAAAAATACCCAAGTGCCCCCCCCTCCGGGCATTGAAGCCCTGAAATTTCTTTGGGCTTAGGGGGACACAGTCAGGCTTGGGACCATGCTGACCTGGATATTAGGCTAACTACTTTTGAAAAGCATTTAAGAGGACCTTAAATCAAAGGTACATGTAAAATTCCACTTTAATTTTGCCTAGTGTTTCATTGAAACTTTGATCTTTTACTGAAAATCGTTTCTTCTTTTACTCATCCTATAGTATTATTTTATCACATTTTGCCACTTGTACATCTCCAAAAATGCAACTTTTTTGTCCCCCAAAATTTTGTATAAGTAATGTTTCCATTTTCTCTTGGGAAGGCTGTAATACTCAAGAGAAATGAAAAACAAAGGTTATGCAAAGTTTGGAGGGACAAATAAGGTGTATTATGGGGGATGTGCAAAAGGCAAATTTGGTTTATAGAAACAGTATGGATGGCATATCTTGTGATATGCAGATCAGCTAAGAAATGGTTTCTAATATCCATGTGCATCAGCTGACTGTGTCCCTTTTAATTTGTCAT